TTCAGGAAGCCCACGCAGGTAGAGTCCCTCATTCGTGCATTCCTCAAGTATTGCTTGGGGCACGGAGAATGCAAGGGGAATTCAGGCCCCAGGAGGTCCACTTTTTATTGGAGAACCCTGCATAGAAACACAAAATCATGAAACTATGGTAAGTGGAGTAGTAAGAGAGATGCACAGGGACATACAGGAGTGAGAGAGGGGCGTGGTCAGGAAATTCTGCTTGGAAGAGGTGGAGAAAAGAGATCCACAACTTCATTTTGGAATCAGGGCGAATCCACCTAAAAATGCTTTTTGGTAGTAAGTAACAGAAAACCTGACTCACTGACTTGAAAAATAGAGTTAATTTATTTCTCAAAGGACTGAAAGTTCAAGGGGAAGGTGGTTTGATACAAAGGCTCACCGTGTCTTCGGGAGTGAGCTTCCTCTTTCTCCGCCATCCGGTCAATCTGCTGTCATCCGTGGGTCATTTTCTTCCTCAGACTGATTTTCCTCATGGGAACAAAATGGCTGCAGCAGATCCAGGCCTAACATCCATACGCCGCATGGTCCAGATGACCCATAATTGCAGTCAAAGCTTCTGAGATGCTCTCTGTTGGACTGGGTGAAGTCACATGCCTGCTCCAGTCCTGTGGCCATGGGCGTGGAACACACTGACCATCTTAGCCTAGGTCACAGCTCTACCCCTGGAGAAAGGCTTGAGTCAAATGTTTGGAATGAATAAATGAATGTAACCAACATATATATATATCTGCCGTACTTGGGAAGCAGAGTGCCTCACTGAGCCTTCTGAAACAGCACATGAGATACCATCATTCATCAGCACACAGTGGCATTGATTACAGCTACGGGACAGTCCATGGTCTTCGGTGAGGCATTACGACCACGTGTGGACTGAAGAGGACCCAGCTTTTGAAAATCAAGCCTGTTTCTTAAAGGAGAGTCTTCTTGTCAACTCTCCTCATACCTTGACTTCTGGAATACATTAAACCAGAGCCTCACTTGGCTTGGCCACACACCCCGTCTTGTCGGAGAAGGGAGTGGGGGCAGTAGTGTATCACTCAGGATGGCTTGCCTCATGCAGTGGTAACAAACAACCCCCAGATCTCATTGGCTTAATACACATCCACAGCGAGTCCGGGTGAATCTCCAGGGAGATGGCCCTTCATGTGATAACTCCAGGATTCATACAGAAGGGACCTCCACCATCCTGTAGGTCCCATGCATTCCTGGGACCTACAGCCTCCTGAGTCAGAAAAGCATGGGAAGAGGTGGCTGGAGGTGAAACCCTCGGCTCACATTTCATTGACTGGAACAAGTCCCATGGCCACAACTAACAGCAAGGGATGGGTGAAGGCAGTCTGTGCCCAGAGGTAGGGAACTGGGTATGGGCAAATGCCGGGAAGGCATTCTCCAATTCCTGGGCTCCTCCAGTGAGAACTGAGAACTGAGCCAGGTGCAGCCCCGGCCTACTGTGCGTTAACCAGTCTTCTGCGATTCCGGCCGCCTCCCCAGCAGCTTGTTTCCAGAGGGGAAAGAGACCGCAATGGAAAGATGGCCCCTTCCCGGTTCCCTGCACAGGATCGGTATTTTCAATAGTACTTTGTGAGTTCAGCCTCAAAGTAAATGGTTAATTCATCTTGTATCAACAGCACTGTGATTCATAATGTAAACTTGGAGAATCCTTGATGTTTCGGGCCCACATTCCTTTTAATTTGGCTCTGCATTCTTTTAAAGCCACAGTGTGCTCACTTAATAGAATGCAGCATGCAAATGCACAAGTTTTTGCCTGGAGGCAATTTAGCCTGGCTGGTTCAATGGATGTCTTCTTTCAAGTGTATATTCTTTCTTAAATTATTTACTGGGTAAACACACTTTGCATTTTCAAAAGGGAGATTAAGACTGCTTGCTGCATACCTATTGAACAGAAATCCCACCCACCACCCCCACCACCCCCACCACCCCCACCACCCAAAGTTAAGGAGAAAGCTGTTTGGGGCCTTCCTGAAGTCCCTTCTCTGGCTCACTAACTGGGAACTTCTCTTCCCTGCTATTTTTCTGATTCTCTCCAAACTCTGCATTCCTTTCTCTCCAAATTCTGCTTTGCCCACAGCGGTACCTGCCAGCAGCTCCTGACTCTGACTGTACTCGGGCTTCCTCACAGATGGGGCCCGCCAATGCCAACCTTTTTCCTCCCTATCCCCCAGATTGGCTCAGTCCTGTCTACTCAAGGGCCCCAGCCGCTCATTGTTCTCATTCTTACAGGTGCTGTATTTACCCAACACCTTTGAGATCCATACCTGGGTCAGTGGCCCGGCCCAAGTCAAGCCTCCTTCCCACTCTCAGCTCCAACTCGCTTTTCGTCTTCTAAACCCTTTGTCCCAAATATCTACCAGCCATTGGTTTGAAGGCAGATGCTCTGTCCTGAGGTATGTGTTGGCAAGAGAACCCTCCCTTCTCCCAGCTTCCGGAGAAGACCCAGTACTGCTCTAAGAATGCATAATGGCAGGAAGCTCCATCTTTGCAAGTTTACTTCAGCTTTTAACTTCAGCCTTTTCTACGCAGACTCCCTGAGATTTTCCTGCAAATTCATTTGCACAGGTCTTCATTCTTCCTTGAATGGAAAGACGACAGTTAAGGGGGCTGTACTCTTTCATTATCATTCTTTGGACAGATCTATGTGTCAGTGACTGTGCCGTGCACTGGGGCTGGAGAGGTGACTGTGGACCTACCAAGGAGGGAGTGGGCAATTCAGTCTTTCTGATTGCCCGTGACCCAGCGGTGAGGTCGCCTGCCTTGGGATGGGTTGTCCGTTGAGTGAACTAAAGATATAAGCTGTTAGGGAAGATCGTGGGTGAAGTGTACCCCTCTTTGCCTTGAGATGAGGGGAGCCCAATTAGGGAGGCCGCAGAAGAGCCGAGAATTTCGGCTTCCTGTGCGTTTGTCTTCCTAACCATGCCTCAGATTAAACAAGTAACATCCACAGTTAATCCTTTATAAACGAGCATCGTGGCGGCCTTGGGGCCCTCAACCCACAAATAAAACGGTTGTCAACCAAGAGACATGCTACCGAATAGCACTTAAGGCAGAATTTTAAAGAGTTTTCATGCCTTTAATCTGTTCACTGCTGAGTTTCAATTTTGCTGATTTCCTTTGCAAGTCTGATGCGGGTGACTGTGGTAAATAGAGATTGTGACAGTGACGTGGGCAAACAGGATGTGCCGGCACAGTTCTGCAGACTTCTGCCCCTTCCAGAGAAAAGGGGAAAAAATCAATTTGGGTTTTCAATCAAGCTACCAACTAGCGCTGATCAGTGTTCATAATTAGCCCCCCTCTAACGAGCCGTGAAGTCCTGCTCTTATTTATTTATTTTGGGGGTGGAGAATCTTCCTGCCTCCTGAGTAAATATGGCCTGTTAAGTCTGAATTAGCTGTCATCGCAGAAGAATTAATGTCGGGCACAGCCTTTCCAGTGGGGAAGGGAAGAAATAAACGAGACAGATCTTAGCTGAGCCGTGCGTGATGAATGAGGACCGAGCGGGTCATTCATCTCCTTCCAGGGAAGTGGACACAGGCACTAAAGCAGTTTTGCGGAAGACGTGTCAGCAAATGTGATCATTTTGTAACCTGTCAGGAAGAGAGGGAGCTAGTCCTTCCAGGGGGCAAAAGGGAGTGGGCCTGTCTAATGCGATGGTCTCCATCCATCCATTTAGGTTTAGGCAAGAAGGGGGTGGGCGAGGAGGAATCCGACTGAAACCCCAAAGGTGTCTTCATTCTTCCAAGAAAGAAACTCATCCAGAAGCTGGGAAAGGCTGCAAACGTCCTGCAAAGATTCCCTCTCCGAGATGTGAAGTAGGAGGGAGGGGTCTCTGTTACACCGGGCACCTGGCTGGTCCCACCTAGTTCTTCCTATGGACGGAGGCCCAGTCCAGTGATTTGTGTCTAGCCTAAGACAGCAGACCTCTCCGTGCCTGAAATTTGGAGGCCGGGTAGGTAGGGTTTGCTGTAGGGTCTCAGCCAAGCGGACAGCCAGCTAGACCGCCAACCACTCTCTATTTTTGTGCGGTCGGTTCTGTGAGATGAGTGTGGGCGAGGCTGTTTGACCTCAGTTCCCACTGAAAGTCTCAACAAAGCATTCTGATGTTTAACCACTTTTCTCAGAATGAGATAACAAATGATGAAACAACTTCATCAGAAGCTCTCGGCAGGCACCCCGGAGCGGGTCTCCACTCCGATTCTCCTTCTGAGTTTCCAGTTCCACATCAGCATTTGGCAAAGCCAGAGCTGAGGGGGTTGGAGTCTCTGGAGGGGAGAGCCCACCAACCAAAGCCTATGAGGCACTCGGGTACTTTGTATTGTTTCTCATTTCCATATTTCCATCTTTTTTTTTTTTTATTAAATACGGAGCAAATGTAACGTTTTCTCCCAGCATCACGGAGCGTGAGCCCCAGTGACAGATGACAGTTTCACAGCCTGAGCTGCAAGCTTGACACTTACTTCTTAATCTTGTCCTTTTCTTCCCAAGTCTCTTTTTCACTTTTCCCCAGGTGTTTTTGTACAGGTAAGTACCTTACTGACATGGTTCCTTAGAGTCTTTTACCTTAACGGGAAACACTGCAAAAAAAAAAAAAATGAGACTTGTCTCACATTTTAAATTAAAAAGAGAAACCTCGTGGGGCCCTGGGTCATTTAAAGATTATTACGAGGCACTCCAAACCCGGAAAGCCGTTTGGTGCACGTTAGCTTCACAGGAAACACTTCTCCCGGTGCAGCGTGACAACCACGTGGCGTCGTTCCTTTCCTTGTGGGTGGTTTTTAGATCCAAAAAGCTGTGTGGTCACACACACACACTCTCTCTCTCTCTCTCTCTCTCTCCCCCCGTGCCAGGCTCCGCACCCCGACCTGCCAAGCCCTCGTCTGATTAGCCAACTCGATCTTGGGTGAGCTTGGTCAGAATGCCCTCCGATCGTGTGCGATCATTTCTTTTTCTTTGCTCTCTCCTAGAATCATCCAGAACCGCATCCTGGTCGTCATCCTGGCCATCACCCTCGTTGTCACCATCCTGATGGCGATCATTTTTTCTGTCAGAAGACATTGATGTATCTGCTCCTCCTTGATAAACAGCAACCACGGCTTGTTCTGAGTAATTAAGACAAAACGGTCACATGAATCATCCTTTTGCGCTGACAGGCCCTGAGCGACACTCCTCTCTCGCCACTGTGCAGCCGAAGTGCAAAGAGTATAAAAAATATTTTTTATTCTCGTTTGCATGTGGGTTGGTTTCCTTTTGTACGTGTGTCTTCACCCAGGTTTGTTTTTCATGAGGGAAGGTTGGCGTTTGCTTGCCTTTTGGTCATTTCATCTACTGACCAAAATAGCCCTTGTTGACATTCTTCCTTGCCCCGTGTCCATGTCAGGGGTCACAGTTTGGGAAAGGGCATAATGAGTCTGTCACAGGGGCTTCTGATGGGCTGTGCTGTTTGTCACACACCTCTTGTCACCAAATTGCCCTTCTGTGATGTCCGAAGATAAAAATGCAGAGAAAAGCGGGGGTCAGAGCCAGTGACCAGCTTCAGCAAACCAGCCCTGTTCATACCCCAGCATAATGAACAGAGTCAACCTGCCTGAATGCTTTCATTGTGAAGGTGGGTATTTCATGTCAGTTGCGCAGGAAATTGACTTAGCACTTTCTCTGTTTTTCTACGCATATTTTTTCTTTACACCCAAGACTATTTTTGCTGAGCCTGCCCAATATCCACTTTTCACGACTTTGATTACTGGCTTCAAGAAATAGTTCCATATCTTCCCCAAAATCCCATACTGCCCAGAATTTGCTGGCAAAGTGAGTCCTGGGCCCGTATTTAATTGTGACCTCCTCTCCCCTGACCTGTGTAAGCATTCCTGTACCCTTTCGGTTTTAATATTTGCGCTGCCGAAAGCAGCCCTCAGACATGCAAAAGGTCTGACAAGGTTCCCTCCACATCTATTTCCGCATGTAAAGAGAACATGAATATTTCAGGAAGAGCAAGAACATGACTCTGGCAGTGCAAAATTTCAGATGTGATTATACATATGGTGGAGTCCTATAGGATGGTCCACTAGACATCAACTTCACGGAAAAAAAGGTGCACGCACCTCCCTTAAAAGAAAGGGGTTGCAGCGTGTTGCAAAAAGACAGCTTGGATTTTTTACTAACAGATGTCAGCCTAGCCTTCTGGAAGCCACTGTGTACTCAAAGCTCTAACATGCTTTGTGATTTTTCTTCGCTTTCTCCCTGTCCGAGGTAACCGAGAATTGCGTTCAAAATGAGTTCATTTATGATGAGGCTTTGAGTTGCCTGAGCTGAGGTCCTTCTCCTTCTAGTCATGAAGCAAAATGTGTTTTTCTTTAAGGCCTCATAGGCACTTCCAGGGGCCGTACTATCTTTTGAATATAATTAGATGCTTTGAACCCTTGAAAACCAAACCTGTTTTCTTCATAAAAAATGCTAACCACCTGTGCCCATGGATGGAGTTCACGGAGCTCTCCATCTAGCATTTAATATTTTTTTTTCTCCAAATCAGAAGAGAATCATTATGGTTTAGGGAGGAGATGCATGACAGCAAAATGCACTAGAGAACTCGTACTTACTGAACCAGGCCAGGGCCTGCCCGCGTTCCGATAAATCATTTAGTATGGTGTGAAGAGAGCTGCGGCCCTTACTTTGCAGGGATGGAGTGAGATTTTGGCAGAGCGTGAAATAGGACAGCCAAGGAGTGGGAAGGCTGTGCTGATTTTCCTCTCAGCTTACGGGACCCACCTCAGTGAGCATCTTTTATTCTGATCGTGGAATTCAATATGTGCTAAACACATCGAGGAGACTATTTAAAAGCAAGAAAACAGACAACGCACTTCCTTCTCATTCTGAAATACTGACGGTGGGGAAGTAGTATCCCAGCCTCTCTGGTGGCTTCCTTCGAAACCCTTGATCTCACCTCAAGTGCGTAACCAGTTCTCTGGCTACACCACACATTTCCAGACTCTTGCCAAGGCCGTGTAGCAAGCCACGTGGATCTGATCATCTCAACCTACCAGCTCCCAAGTATTTCATTAAAATTGTGTGTTCCTGTTGAAGTAGATAAAGGAAAAAGGAGTGTGTTGCTCCCCCTTTTAATTGCCTTTTTTGGGGGGTTCTTTCTCTATCAGCTCTTGCCTGAGATGGTGCCCCAATTCAACACTGAGGGTGGAAGGAATATGAACAGATAACCCTTGGTCTAATGGCTCCATCAAACCCCCCTTGAGAGCAGTCCCCTAGCCTGACGTCTTGAGTGCCTTCTAGGAAGCTGGCCCAAAGGGCCCTTGAACTCGTTGCCTGGCCCTCCTGGATGCTGTAGGAGCGACTCTAAGGAACCCTAAGAAAGACAGTTTTTTGTTCTTCCCCTTCCACACTCTTCCACGCTCCACTGGGAAAGGAAGCTCACAAATTCAAAGCAGGTGAAAAGTTCTAGGAACTTAATAAGTAGACTTCAATTGATGAATATTTCTAAAGTTGGGAATATTGTTTAAAATGCTGCTCAACATGGGGCTGGGGGAAATAATGAAGACGCAGAAGAGGAAGAGGAGGAAGAAGCCATTGCCATACAAAATTCACTGCAGACTAAACAGTTTCCCCAACAGAATAAATAAGGCAGATGCTGCCCATGCTCCAGAATCAAAAGCACTTTAATTAAAGTCTCTTAAGTTGTAGAGAGTTCTCAGTGTTCCACGTTGAAGGAGAATGCCTGCGAATACAGTAGGCTTGACGTCAGCCGCCTGCCTGGGCTGGGAGGCCATTTGCTATTCTGTTTAAGGCAGGCTGGATTGTCTTATTTTGGAACCAGCTTGGTGGGGGGTTTGCTTTGCTACTGCTTCTGAGCCCCGAGCTTCAAAGGCTGAAATTAATGGCGAACAAAATTGTGCAGCTCTGGCCGTCCCATGCGGGGCAAGCCCATTGAGGGTTATCATTAAGTAAAGAAATAAAGAGGGGGGAAAAAAGCCTGCCTGTTCCAAAAACCTCATCAGATAATGACCTCGGCGATTGGGTTTTATTACCAAACAGCATCCAGAGATTATCTATTCCAGAGAAGAAGGGAGGGGGAAAGAAAAAGAAAGAAAGGAAAGCAACTGTCTTTCTCTCCCTTTCCCTCTCTCTTGCTCTCCCTCTGTCTTTTTTTTTTTTTTTTTTTTTTTTGGCACATCTTTTCTTTAAAACTGTCAGATCATTTCAGTATTTCAAATCCAAGGAAAACAGCCTGCCTGCTGCTGTATTTGAAGTTGTAATGGTGTCAAAAAGTCACGACTGACTGACAGCCATCAGTCCCAGAGGGGCTCATTAAATCATAAAAACTTGACAAGGAAATAATTGCGCATCGCCAGCAACTTGGCGCCTGTTTAGACGTTTCTATTTTCTTTCATTATTAGTCCCCACCATTACGTTCATTAACAAATTGCATTAAACAACTGTTAAGGGCTAATGATTTGTTTATCGTTTTTTTTATTATTATTATTTAAACATCAGCTGTGTCATGTGGTACCCCAGCAGCCTCTTGCCATCATCTGACTGAATATTTTTCCACCCTGCTCTGGGTACTGTTGGAATATGAAATAGATTATTCATTACTCTCCTCTTTGCCACTGATTTGGTTTCATGTAGCGTCTTCCACAGAGAAAGATGAAAACTTGTCAAAAATAGGTTATATCTTATTCGAAGGGGCAACAATAGCAGCGGTACAGGCACACTTTAATATTTAATTAAGGTTGATGTTAACCCCTTTAAATGACTTTTGCCGTAAGTTCTATTCAAATGCAGGAGAGAAAAATAATTGTTCTTAATTTGCAACCCTGTTCAGCAGGCACTCTTCCTGGAGTTAGCTGGAAATTTGGAGCAGAATTTTTAAATAATGAAATTTCCTGTCCTAAATATTTAGAGCCGTTTGTTTACATAGTTGAGAATTAACTACGAGCAATGGTTTCCTCATCTCTTTGGTCTGAACTGCTCTCCTAGTGGGTCACTCAGTGCTCGGGAGTGGAGACGGCTTTCCTGAGAGAAACGTGTGTCCAGAGCCGAGAGGTGGTTGGTTGGTTGTGACTGGGGCCGGTTTCAAAGGAACCACTGTGAGTCCCATGTCTCTGGTCCACTTGCCTCCCCCTTTCGCTGAGTGTGTGGTTGGAGAGCTGTGGTCTGCCGTGAGAGTAAGTAGAGACTTCATAAAAGAACACTTGTGTGTCCAGGAGGGTGTGGTGAGCGGATGCCCAGGGTCTCTCTGTACCATCAAGGAGCTCATTGCGGACAGCGCTTCCCTGGTGGACAGCAGGAGCAATGCTTTGCGGGACTGGCCCTGCGCCATTTTTCCTTTCTGTGACTAGCCGTTAATTAAATGATCGCCTTTTCCTGGGCTATAAGCTTGCAGGAAAAAGGTCCATCTTCATCATCATGCCATGTCAGAAGTCAATGGCCTTCTTCAGGCCATAACCGCTGTCCGCACTGACCATTCTGTTGGATTCAATGAGTTTACGTAACCATGGAAGCCACACTCAGAGGTCCAGTTCATCAGCACTGCAGGGTCGGGCATTATGGTCAGTGTCAAGGGATGGGGCGAACCTTTTTGCCAGTCCATTTCTGCTTTCACCCACCCATCCTGGAGAGAATAGACCCTTAGGCTCCATGGATATGAAGGAGGAGATAGTACACGTTCCTTATTCTGTGTAGCATCTCTCAGTACTACCCACCCAAGAGCAGGTGGTCCTGTATAGAAGGGCCATCCCAGCAGATACAAGCCAGGTGAGGCCTGGCCTCCAGCCTCATCCATCACTCTGGGCACAGAAATGGCAGACACATCAGGGTCTAAAGGTGGGGGGGCAACCTTCCATTTCAATCCATTTCAGATTAGCCACGTGACAGCTCATAACCTTTGGGACGGCCTCCATACCTCAGCAGGGGGCATGCACATTGTCATTTTCCCAGATGGAAGGGGGCCTCAGTGGCGAGCTGTCCCCAGTCAGACTCCAGAGGCACTGGTTGAAGGTAGTGTCCAAGGCAAGCTGCCAACCCTGAAACTTGACCTCGTCCTCTGCTGTAAGTCACTAACTTTAAACCAGACCCCAGGAAACATTCTCGTCTGTACAGCTTTGTTGCACCTGTGGCCCATCAGGCTGAAACCAGTGGTATCTGCCAGAGGCCATCAATATTATGTGACCAGTCAGGTGGTCACATAATATTGACACTAACCCTTTTTTAAATGGGGAATGTTCTGTGTGGACAGCTCAGAAAAGTACCTAAAACCACAGGCATTTCACCCAAGAAGGGAGACTGCAGGGAAACCAGGGCAGCCGTGTCCAGGCAGGAGATGGGTGTGTGTGATCGGGGCCAAGGCTTAAAATGGGGTGACTGAGCCAAGGTCAACGTCCTCTTCTGTGCTGGAAGGAGGAGGCCACAGAGAGCATGGGGAGAGACTGCCCCTCTCTGTTGGGTTGTTAGGATTCCAGGGCAGGAGCAAAGTGAATGTTTCAGAGCCGACTTACCGCAGGCAAGTGGGGCAAACCAAGATGGTGAGCCAAACCAAGACAGCAGGGCAAACCCAAGACGCTGGCGCAGGTGGGTTTGGAAGGTGTGATGAGGTGAGGAGCAGATGGTGCGCAGGTTAAGGGCGGTGGGTTCCCCAGCCTCAAAGGATAGGAGATAGTTGGTGACACGAGTTCCAGGGAACAGGCAAGAAAAGGCAGAGCACCAAGCAGTGGGCTCCATCTTGTGCCACCCTGGGCCCAGCATTGCCCTCCTTCAGGAGGAGCCAAAGGAAGGGAAGGGCAAGGTGAGCCCCCCCCTCTCTCTCTCTGAACCACTGCCCCAGTCTCACGTAACCCCTGCTTGCCCGGCCTCGAGGGGCACCCAGCATGCTGGGAGGAAAGTGCTTCCCCGTGCTGAATCACCTCCTTACTCGCGCTACATAAATAACGAAGGCATCCCTGAGAGATGGGGAAATGCCAAGGAGCAGAGCTCCGCACCGTGGTTCTGTGAACTCGTGCCCCCCTCCTTCCCTTCATCCAGACAAGGCCCTTTGGCGTGAATAATAGCTCGGCGGCCCGAAGCCCGTATTGATCGGCTGCCCGCGCCGCTCCACTGAGAGCTGCCTGGACTTTTCCTGGGGGCAAGACGGGCACCTCTCAGTGCAGCTACCTCCTCCGCCCCCCCAGGTGTGCTCAGAAGGGGAGGGGGGGTGGGGGGGGATGGCCAAGAGGCAGGCCCTTGTCCAGCTCAGTGCTGGTGGTTGGCTCAACTTTTTTTGCCTGTGACTTCTTTTACTAGGGAAAATACCTGAGCTGGAGAGGAATGTTTTTTGCACAATGAGGCCCCACAGAGTTGAGAAGAAATACATCCTCAGGCTCCAGCTTCTCTCCAGAAGCTTCTGCCAGAGATCCAGGCAGCAGAGGCACCCACAGCTGACACTTAGGGAGCCCACTGCGTGCCAGCGGTGAGCCCAGCACCGGGGCAGCCACGCCATGTTTCCTGTTAACTTTCAGTCCCTGTCTCGGGTCCTCAAAGCAGAGGCTCTGACAAGGCAGGGAGGATCCTCGCTGCTGTGGCATGGGGCCCACACGGCTAAATCCAGTGGACAGGAGTCAGCCACAGGCTGGTGGCTCCAGGGACAGAATGGGCCAGCCCCTGGGCCTGAGACTCTGACCACACTCCTCCTCTCGGGGATAAGCAGTGGAAGGTCAGCCTGGCCCTGCAAAGCCAGCACCCTGTGCACTGGAAGAGACCGGAAATCCTACCTTTAATAATTCACTCCAGTGGGTCTGACCTTATCCGCCTTGGAAAATGCCACAGATACTTTGCCCAGACAGCATCAGCACTGACAGCCACTGACCCCTCTGGGTGAGGTGTCGGACCCTCTCCTAAGAGCCGAGCTGGGCCTTGGGAAAGGAGAGACCTACCCTGTGAGCGATCTCCTGGAGAAGGGGCACAAGGAAGGAGGGTCTTGGTTCCCCAGAACCAGCTCCCTGGAGGTGTCTCCCGGAACCAGCCATTGCCTGTATTTCCGGGAATACAGCTTTACCCTGGAAGCCCACACACACCCCAGCCATAGCCAGTCTGTGAACACGTGGGCACAGCCCAGGAGAGGTACCTGCTTGAGGGGCCTGGCGCATCCACGGCACCACCCTTGCTGAGAAGAAGGGGAGAGAACAGGAAGGCAGGAGGTAGGGTCAGAACAGTTGAGCCAGGGCCCAGCAGACCGCTTCCCTTGGTGAGCTGCTCCAGCCTCCACTCAGGCAGAGCCCTGCTGAGGGCGAGGGAGGCCATGGCCCCCACAGAGCACAATCGGGCACTGGGGGAAGGACCCAACATGGACCGTTTATGCCCTGAGACCCTCCCCGTACTCCCCCACCAGAGGCCCTGGCACAGCAGTGACACTGTGACCATCAAAGTCTCTCTCTGCCCAGTTTCTGTCTCCCCTTCCTCCTCCAAGGCCACTTCTGCCGAGAAGTCACAGAGCAAAGAGAGCTGCGCGGCTTCAGTGAGCTCATCATGGCCCCCGAGGTGGCCACATAATCAAACCTGCCCTCGTTGGCAGCATGAGAGGTGTAATCAGATTCACTCATCTACTCAATGAGTGTTTATTGAGCATCTACTATGTTCCAGGCCCCAAAAACATGTGGTGAAGATAGATAGATAACAAAACAAGTGAGGTCATCCCACCACCCTGGGGCTCTTTTCATCTCCAGCACCCTGCTGCCCACAATGACTGCTCCATCTCCACGACTTGCTTGGCAAAGCCTCTCCAAGCGACAGTACTGTGTGTCCACTCCTCCTCCGGGCAGTTCCCATGACGACGTTTGCAAAATTGACCCACAGGGCTGACGCTTGTCTGCATATGGGGGAGTCCCATCAGCACCGGCCCCTTGTCTGGGGCCGGACCAGGAGAGGCAGGGGACAGAAATAGAGACCATTTATTCTGGGCTCTGGGATTCTCTTGGAGGATTTTTTTCTTCCTGCTTATGAAGTGATAAAAGTTTGACTTGGCAGGTGATCGGAAACCCAGAATATCACAAAAGGGAAAAAAGTCATCGAGTGGCTAAGAGGTGCACCATGGGAGTGTTGGCCGGGCCGGGGGCAAGGCGAATTGCTGAGCGAATAGAACAGGAGATATTTTTCAAAGGCTTCTCTCTCCTGCTCTCTCTGGGCCCTGTGCAGAAAGGGGAAATAGAAGCCAAATCCAGATTTGGGCATGTGGCTGATTTGGGCACCCTCCCTGACTCCCACCCCCTTTTCCCCAGACAGTGATAAACTTTGATGTCTGAGCCCGTGGCATTTGGGGACAGGAGAAGCTGGGCATTCCGGCGAAGGCCTCCCTCAGCCCCTTTGTGAGGAGAGATGAAAGCCACAGAGCCAGAGAGAGCATGATTTTCAAATCAGAGAGAGCATGATTTTCAAATGATGAAATGCAGGAGCTCCATACAGGCCACCTCAGTGACAGTTTGGGTAGCGAAAGCCACCCCGGCAGACCAGCTGAGATTCACAGAACCCTCGAGGTGTGCATGTTTTTTGGGCCCACCTGCGTGTTTGCAGATGGGGACAGGCTCAGAGAGAGCGTAGCCTCGCTCAAGTCACCCAGCGAACCATGTTGGCAGGGCCAGCCATGGCCCACAGGCCCTCAGCCTCCAGGCAGGCCTCTCTGCTCTGCACCAGGAGGGTAACTTCAAACAGCACCACACTGTGGAAGCCAAGGCCAGGCCACAGACCTCTGAGCCTCTTGGTGGTGTCGGCCTTCATGCTACCGGGACTAGCATTCCCCACTTACATTTCTCAAGCTACAGAGGTACAGAAAAACTCAGCCCCGCCCCCATTAGCTATGGTCCTCTTTCCCCCTGAATGTCAGATCTTAGCTCTTTGGAGGAATTGCCAGGGGAGACCCAGGGTCTCTCCTCAGCTGAGCTACTGATGTCACCTGGGAAAACCTTTTCTGTCTGAAGTCCCTGCCCAGCTCTCCTCACCCACCACCAGTAGCCTGCAGGGGCTCCCGGAAGTGCCTTGGTTGCTGAGGCCAAGCGGGGGCTACTGCTTCTGAACTGGGTCCTGGTGGTTGTGACTGAGATGAATGAACAGCTTGGCAGGGAGGCCTTTTGCTAAAGTCTAGCGTCTTCCATGATGCGTAGGGCCTCCAGCTGATGAATGGCCCCATGCAGGCCCTCCCCTGCTCTGGGCTTTGGCTCTTCATGCCGCCAGTGGGAAAGCTGGGCTGGGAAGTCACAGGAAGGCAGGTTTCTGCAACTCCCATCGACCATCGAGGTGAGCAGGGAATATGTCTGATAAAGCAAGGGTCAAGGGCTTCAGTGTAATATGGCAGCCACTAGTGTGTAGAACCTTCTAGAAGACCAAGAGACTGGTAATTTGAGCTTCTGAGTGATCTTGGAGGCAGGGCTGGCGTCACGGGCCTGAGGTCAGGGCTCTGTACCCAGAAGGGCCGCAGGCTTGGGATTGAATGCTCTACAGTCACTTTCTTGAAATTCTTCATAATTTTATCTTCATAGTTGTGTTTTGTAGCTGAAATCCAGTGGGTCACTGGACCATGAACAGGAAGTAGGGAGGAGGTGGCCTTGGAGCCCCCCTCACACGCAGTCCTGCCTCTTGCCCTCTCCCTGCTCTGGGGTCTGGTTCTTAGCTGCTTGCTTCACTGCCCCTGGAACCACAGTTCCACGAGGCTTTCCCCTCCCCACCTCCACCCTGAAGCCACTTCCAACCTGCCTGCAACCTGGTCACAGGCACGGGCATGGTCAGGATCAGGCATGCACAACCCAGAGCATTTTGGGGTGGGGCACCGTGGCAACAGTGCCCTCCCTGGGCTGGCAGCACCAGGAGCACACTCGGTGGGGGACTGAGTTGAGTACCTAGTGCACCTGGTGCGTCCTGGCACAAAGGCTGCAGTGCCTCTGGGGGTTGCCCACCTGCCCAGGCTCGGGGCAGCAGGCCGTGGAAGGGGGAGGTGCCAGGGGGCCCAGCAGGTCCATGTAGCTGCAGGGAGAAAGGGAGCCTGACCTCTAGCTTGAAGGGCAAGTTTATGCCCCAAGTATAGATGCAGGGCCCAGCGCCTGGGGTGTGCACTCCACCTGAGAGAACCCCCAAGCCTAAGAATGTGCCCCAGTGGCTAGTCCCCTGCCTGGGGGATGCCTCTCTTCCAACCTGCTGCATCTGGCTTGTGTCTTCAGGCCTGTTCACAGTATTCTCTTAAGACGAGGAACAAAACACAGTACATAACTTTGCTGATTCCACACCTGTGTTAGGTATTCTGATACTTGCCTTTAAAATTGGCATTGCATAACCTAAAAATGAATGGTAAAATCTATGCTGATAATTTAAAATTTTGACTTTACTCCCAATGACATTAACTAGGAAATTTAAAACACTGACAAGCTGAGAGACAGACAGACAGGAAAGGTGGGGAAGGCAGCTTTTTTCTTCCGTTTTGAACCAGGAGCTCCACGGTTTTGTTTTGCTTTGGGTCTAACAAATCACAGAAGCGGTCCTGCCAGATGGGTCACTCTCCCTCCAGGGCACCCCTTTCCCTGGCAGGAATCAAACCTGAACACTGTGCTTGTCCCTCCCTCACTCCCGGCCAAGTCGTGATCACGCGCTTGGAGAAAATCCCCGTGAGATTTAGAATTCAGAGTGTGCTGCTCACCCTCGGCCTTGGAGCCCAACCCTCCTTGCTTAAAAGGGGCTCTCAGCCCCGCTCACGTAGGTCTAACCACCTCCGTGAGGCAGTCTCTCCCCCAGAGATTCTCCATAGGTACTACATCCTGAAACTGGAGCCCCAGTTAAAAACTCCAGACATATCAAAGAGAGGCATCAGCCCCCAAAGAGACTTAATTTGGAATCCAAGCAAGTTACGAAACAGAAAACCGTCAGCCTGCCTGAGAGCCCAGGCTCCTGCGCACCCAGAGCACCGGCCGACTGCCCTCCCTGACATCCCTTTGACTTTCCGGCGCAGCCTGGGAGTTCAGAGCTTGGTGCCGCAGGAGGCTGGGTGCCAACCAGGTTTGGCTAGAGAGACGTCAGTGTCTTGAGAATGGTAAAAAGTCCATTCCACTTCCGGGGGAAGGTATTTCCATTTCAGAATTGTTTCCAAAGCCACCATCTTGGGGTTCCCGGGCGCAGCCTTGCCTGACGTTTGAGGGCCTGACTGTCCAAGGTTGAATGGGTCCAAAGTAGCAGCCTGTCATGCTCTACAATAAAGTGCTGTCACTTTAAGATAACATTCATGGAAGGAATGAATGAGTCGTTTAGATCGAGTTGCGTCAAATGGAATCCCAATTGCATACTCATCAGTGTCACTTCCGGACAAAGGAAAAATTAATGCACTTCGTTTAGCTGCGTCTACGGCTTTTCCCTGATTATAGGTGAGCTCGCTATCATTTTCAAGTTTTGTTTCTTTTACACCGATCGTATTTCAGTTCGTTTCATACTGAGGGATGATTTTCGGCTTCAGCTTAACCTCCTCCAGATAATTCATTAGGCCTGAGAGCTGCTCCAGAGTGGGATTAGAACCTGTGTAGAAGACAGTCACTTTAAACTGAGATCTGCTAATTAATCGCTCTTCTCTGTCCAAGTGCACAGCAGCGCTCCTTCCCCGCGGAATTGCAATTTCATGGTTCCTAACGACGGTGCGATTACATTATCTGGATCAGAGACTGTGGGTGTCGGCAGTGGTGGGCCGAGCCTGTCTCGGGGATCCGGCGAAATCACTCCTACAACCAAGGGGATGGAGGGAAGCAGTTAGAATGTCGGTTGCTAATTTTATTAATGTGCTGCAGTTTCTTCCGTCTCGTTTAGGCATTAGCTGCAAGCTCCAACTCCCCCTGCTCCACAGGCCTCTTTCCCCAGAACCTCACTTTGCTGCCTAATATCCACAGGGTTATTTTTGTGTGTGCAAATCTATTTATTTGCTGTATTCCACAAAGTAATTTATTTCGAGCATTTATTTTCATTAGATCTCTTGGAAATATGGTCCTACCTACTGTTAGCACAAGTGATACATTTTAATTGTTGTTTCCTGGACTAACTTGTATCATTCGATGAGTCAAATAAAATGTCTAATTCCAAAGTCTGCCAGTCCCATCTTTTGCATTTGATTTATTTATCTTATTTCCATTCTCTTTCTGACTGAGGGAGAGCCACAGATTTTCAGGTCCATGCTCTGCTACAGATTCTGTACTGAGTGTAGACACGGTCTGGTTTTTTTTAAATGATGAAAGTTAGAAGGATCATGTTCAAGGTTGCTTTTCAGTGCAGGTTTGTTGTTTGGGTTTGTTTTTTCCTTCTTCTTAAATTGCTCAGGGGGATGGCTTCACTGAGGGATCACAGATCTGGACGTGAGCTCTGGTTCCCTCTTTGATGGGATGGGATCATCACCTGATCCCCTCCCGGAGCCTCAGTCTCCTTATCTGTAACGTGGGGGAAATCTCACCCACTTCAAGGTCTGGTGTGAAAACTCAGTTGGGGAGCCCGAGAAAAGCACAGCCAGGCACGTGATACACCTTCACCGTCCCCTCCTCCCAGTTACATGAGCTGGAACCTCACAGTGCACAAGTACTCCTGGGGGTGGGCAATTGTGGTGTCTTTGTTTTTGTTTTCTTTGAAGATTCCTTATGATTCCTTACAACCTTAAAATACTTCAGAAATGGCTCAGATCAATAAAGGGAACGTATTCATTTCCTCATTCATTAACAAAAATGTTCATCTTAAAAAATTCCTTTTCAACACTAGCTCTCAGACACAGCACCAGGGATTGGAAAACAGCACCAAACCACAAAATAGTCTCTGCCCGTGAGTCCAGTCAGTGAGGGGGACCCAGCAGTTACCTGGCAATTACCTGCCATAGAAATTCAATCATAGGGAGACCTGGACAGGTAAGGCAGCCTTGGCTGGTTGGGCTGATTTGAGCCTATCCAATGCCAAGGGTATGGCGTCCTGAAGGAAGTTGAAGACATTTGTAACACTGGGGGGGGGGGGGGGAGTGTTGTAGATTAAGGATGAATGGATGGGAGACAACGTCTGTTGTCCCAAGCAACCTGCTCAGCCCTGACTTTACCGCTAGGAAATTCCCCGTTAAATTATCATTCGTTCCCATCTGAGGGCAGAGATGCTGTGAGCTTTTCAGGCAGAAGACATGTGGAATCCTCCCTCCTGCTTGACAGGAAGTGGGGCTTTGAAGGGGTGCGGGGCCACGACCACACGTCCGTCCCTCAGTGCTCGTGGGTGGACTGCCTTGAACAGAACAGTGTTCTCTTCTCTGTCTGCGTTGGTCACCAAGACGCTCCCCCACCTTGCGGGGGAGCTGAGCAACTTCACAAGGCTCGCCTCGTTCGGATGCACAGCACAATGAGTTATACCCCTCGAGCCTCCAGCACTGATATTTCAAAACCTACAGCACACTAAACGTGAAACTTTTGTTCAAATTTCAAGGATTTTGATAGCCCAAGTGAATAGACACTGCCTATTGATTTTTCCCTTACAATGACTCTTGGATAACCTATTTTCTCATTTATTTTTAAAGACAGCTCATGAGATTTCATAGCAATTCTGCCCAACCTCCTAATATCAAAATCCCTCCTTGACCCTGAAAATTGTAATTCTGCCATAGATCACAGCTGCTGAATATTACCTTTTACTAAGCTGGTTAAATAAAATATGTCCAAATCACTGGATCCCACAAGCCGTGGCCGGCAAGTGTAATGAGGCGAGTCTGAGGTTCCCGCCGCTCTCGCCGGTCCACCGGCACCGGAGTGCGGGGATGGGGAGTGCGGGCCTGGGTTTGGAGTTGAGGGGGAGGGGAGGAGAAGGACAGCTGGCCTGGTCTTCAGCGATTTTCCTGTAAAACTTTTACAAGGGAGACTTAGGCCGTTTGATGTGTTCTAGACAATCAAACGCCTTCTGAATCTGCGGCAGAGGACCTGGGGTTTTCTCCCCAATGGGGAAGGGGGCGTGTTTGATGTGAGGCAAGCTCAAAGCCCCCCAAGCCTTCCACACTGACAGGCCAGACTACACTCCCAAGGTGGGTAAATACACCATGTGAAATGTGAAAAGCCCCCCGACCCGGGAAGTCTCATTCTGCCCACTGGCTGGCCAGGCTGTTGCTGTAACTGGGGAGAACCATATGGAATTTAGACCCAAGGGGCTGGTGCCCACGTGAGCCCTGGGCCCCCGTGCATCAGGCTCTCACCTGTGCTTCATTCCATTTAGCCAAAGGGTCCCACAGGCCCCCAGCCAAACGGCCCAGGGGCTCCTTCCTGTTGGAATGACTTTTTCTCAGAAGAAGGAAGGACGGCACTGACCAAGTTGGTTCCAGAGGAGCACTGAATATTTCAAAGCCAACACTTAGATCAAGTCATGACCTTTGGCTTTTGGAGTGTCCTCTGGCCTCACCTTGGCGCTCCCCACATTCACTATGGTAATGTTTCCCGGAAAATCGCACTCATTACAGATGAACAGAGCCTGAAGTAGCTCTGACTCCGCAGAAATGTGGTGTCCCCCGGCCGTGGCCACAAGAGCCCATTTGCAATGCAGGAGACAAGAGGCTCTTCCGAATCCCAACTGTACTCGACCCCTCCCCACACCCCCCACGACTGCTGGACCCACTTTCTCCCCTGCAGGGCCTCCCAGCTTTGGCAGGTAACGGATCCCATGGAACAGATAAAAGAAATGTGCTGATATCAGCACCCAATGACTGAAGGGAGCAGGAAATTGTCCAAGAAAGAGAAATTAATAAATAGCAGTGAGACGCCCCCTCCAGCCCCCAATTCAGAGGTCAAAAAGGCTAACACATGTTAGTGTCCTTTAAGCTCACCTTACGCCGGGGATGACAAGCACGCGGCAGAGGTCACCTCCTTCTCCCCGTGGTTCTGGCTGACATTGCTAATTGGCCCTACTGCTTTAGTCCCAGGATCCTCTTCAACCCAGGGTTCCCTGCAGCCCCTGTTCATCAGTAGGAGTTGATTTGGGGGATGCTGTGCATGGATCAACCAGCCCACCATGTCCGCGTGCCCTAAATCCTATGCATGCCCTTCCTCTCCCTGCAGGGCCCTCACATTCCCTCCCCCGTCACCGGCTCCTACACCTTCAATGTCCCACTGGAGTCCCCAGTTCCTCGAGGAGATTGCCACCCACTGTTCTCTCTCCATCTCTCGGCTGCTCCAGACCCAGAGGAATGAGTGAGAGGCCAAGCGCATGGAGACCTTTGAGTTCTGACCCCAGCTTTGTTCTCCACTGTCTGGGTGACTCTGAAGGACTCTCCTGCTTTCCGTCCCTATCTCCCCATCTGTGATCTCTAACGTGAACCTCAGCTCCTCCATTTTGTGATGCAAAGTCCCTGGCAACCGTCCTGCTACCATGGCTCTTGGTTGATTCTCTCCTTCACCATGCGTGCCAGCTCCTGGAGGGCAGGATCATGTCTGGGGCTGACCTGCATGTCTCCTTGGGGCATCAAAGGGCTAGAAGCAGAGTACTCAGTACCTTCTGGTTACGTGTTTAATTCCTATAATGTCAATCACCTCCCAAGGAAAGAGACTTGCAGGAAAAATGCAGCGACCCCAGGTTAAGCATAGTTGCAAAGGGATCAACTCTACCTGCTACCCCTGCAAGGGCCTTTTGAGCCACTCTTAGGACCTCAGGCCTGGGAGCCAATGAGGGGAGATGGTTGAGCATGGGGGCCAAGACGCAGGTGCAGGGCCAAGGATGCTGCCCACCCCTGAGCTGTGTGAACTTGAGCAAGTTAATCAACCTCCCTGAGCCCTCGTTCCCTTCCCTGCAAGTCAGGCATGGCAAGACCGCCTTTAGTCTGGGCTGAAGGAGAGAACTGTGCAGGGTCCTCAGCTCCTCGAACCTGGTCAGTAGTAAGTGCTCAGAAAATGGAAGCATTTCCCACAGCTCTCACTGATCTCCCACCACAGGACTAGCTCTGCCCTCAAGGCCTCTGGTTCCTTCCTGAGACCCACAGGGCCTGTTCTCTCAGTTCAAGGACGCTGACTTTGCTCTGTGCCAATGCTGGTCTACCAGCACGAGGGGCAAGTGGTGAGTCTTGGCCTGAAGGAGGAATCCAGAACATCAAGACCAGAAACTAGATGAGGTCAGACATTGAGGTCCCAATCCGGACAGTCCAAAATGGTCACAGAGACACCACCCCTCCCCCACCCCCAATTCAATTGCCTCCATTCCAGGATCCCTCCTACGGCAAGGGCAGGGCCCAGGGAAGCAGTGGCCCTGCCTGGTGGGCAGTGCCACCTGCCTCCGGGAGAAGGCAAGCTTCAGGGCAATAAATTTCAGCTCTTGTTACCCCCCTCTCCATTCTCTTCCTTCTCTCCCTCTTGATCTGCCCCTCTCTGCTGACAACAAAGTATGGTTGGCATGTAGTTGGGGATTTAAAACCAGGACAGCTTCCCCCTCCCTTCAGGCTGGAAGCTACTAGCTCCCTGGCTCCCTGAGGCCTCTCGAAGCTGGTGCCTGATGATTGCCAGGAGACCGGCTCCCGAAACCGGAAGGGGCCTGTATTGTCGGACCAAAATAGCAAATGTGCAACATGAGTCTGTTCAGGGCCCCTCAGCGGACCGGCAGCTTCCGGTGGGTGCTTGACAGAGGCCGGCCCGGGAAGCAAACTGGAGTGGCCCTCACTGCACTTGAGAGAGCCCTTCCGTGTACACGATTGTCTTGTCCCTTTGCTAGATTAGTCCGTACAACTGAAAATGGACCTGAGCTGTCCTTAGCAAAAAAAAAAAAAAAAAAGGCATGTCTGGGTCAAATACACAAAGCCTTTAGACACACACACTTCCTGAATGACTTAAACCTTCCTACCTGCACTCCGCTGCCCCTGGATCTCCCAGGACAAAAGGGACCCGAAAACCCCAAATCTGTTTTTTGCCCATGGATGGAAGCCACGCTCTTTGCCAGGCGTGAGTGCAGAATGCAGAGTTCCAGGGTGTCGCTGCTCTTCCCCATGTGGCGCCTGATTGATTACTTGTCAACTTCCCAAATGTTTTCATCCCTGGAAGAAACCAGGCACAAAAAAGAAACAGATCTGAA